CGTATTTTATCGTGCATAATTTTAACTTGAATTTCGATTTGTCGTTTTGACAAAATATATTTGTAATGTAGTTCATAAGTTACAGTTTTAAATTTATTATTTGGAGATATATTTTACATAGTTGAATCACAGTGTCTTATGCAAAGTAGGCAAATAAATCGGATGGATAGAATGAACAACTATGTCAATCATTGAAAATAAATTTTTTTTCGGTAAAAACATCAATTGAAGCCGAAACGATTAAACCAGATATAGGAACTTCAATAAATCAATTTTGATTGAATATAAAATTCTATTAANGTGAAATCACACACAAGTGTTGCCCGGTAAGGTGTACGCGTATATATATACATATAACATACACGGCACGGCTCATTATCCGCTCGAGCCAGCAGGTGCGTCCCCACGCTCTCGGCAGCGAAGGTCGTCTCTCGCTCGTATACTTTTTTCTCCCGAATACTCGCGCGTACACGGAGGTGCACATCCCGTCTCGTACATACATGCATGTATATGGCCTTTATTGACCACCAACACATGCTGGGTAAAGAAAGCGCCGGAAGTTCGGGAGTATATAATATTGTGTATTATATCGCGCGAACATCATCGACGTGCGTGCATGTATATCGTATGATATATACACATAGAGAGCCAAAGGCGGCAACATCCTCGGCGAAACAGGTGCAACACCTGCCACCGCAGCAGCAGACCATCATCAGCAGGTGTATTCCGCGGCGTATATGTATGCTAATTGGGCCAGGGTCCTCTCTCTCTCTATCTGGCTCCACCACAAGGAGGAGGAGGAGGAGGAGAGGATTTAACGAGGCCCCGAAATACCTGACGTAACCTCGCTCTGTTCTCTGGGAACTGCCGATTTTTTGCTCAATTTTCAGCCTCCCCCCGCTCCTTTGCTCGTATCCATAGCTACACGTGCAATACATATACACACGTTTCTCTCTCAAGGTTCGCGTCTCCTCGTAAAAAACAACACTCGATTTATTTTCCGGGAATTCGTTGACAATGTATGTATCCACCCTCTCCGGGGGCGTCGTTCGGAGGCGGAGATACCGCATTATCATCCTTCATCTCTCATTGTCCCGAGGAAAGTTATCTCGTCAGGACGAGACAAAGAGAATCGTACACGGTAACCACATGCTAATTTCTTCTTGCCATCGATACCGTATAGGTAGGTGTATACTTACGCGTAAACTTTATCGATTTTATTTTTCAAAGTGCAATTACAGCCATTAATCACCAAACGAAAATCACGATGGTTGGCCGGTCGCGGGAGGGAAAAGGGCCGCAAGCTTCCGGGATGTGCACGAGAGAAACCAACGGCGCACAAGGAGGTGGACGTCTCCCGCTCGGCCATACGCCGATTGTTAATTAGCCGTTAATTATCGGGTCCGGCGCTTGTTCTCTGTCAATAACGCATGTACGTATATATGTAAGCGGGATCGGTCGTTCCCATTCGGACTCTCCGAAATTTCTCCGGCTTGGACCTCTTCCTTACTCGCTTCTCCTCTCGGTGCACCGTGTAACGGTTAAGGTTTTTAATGCCCCTCCTCCTTTTCCCTCTCGTCGTCAGCTGCAATGCGATTTTGAGGCTCCCCGAGGCGACGAGGAATGTTAATCGGACCGAGAACTGGGCGTACGAGTCCCGGAATATACCCACGCCGATACATCTTTCCTTTTTGGCTCTCTTCCCCCAGCAGCGAGTACTTAATGCGCGCTTTTCCCCCAAGATCGATCCCTTCGGCGCCGTGTATAATCGGCCACACCGGCTGATTATTTATATTTACAAATGCAAAATAGTACCTGTGTGGCACGGGGATGAGCTTATGCCCTCGGTAAGGGATGCTCGACAAATAATGCATGGGGCGACGCACGGCTTTTAATCATACAGCTTTCGGTCTTTTTTTTTTTTTTTCTTTTAATTTTTAGTCAATTTCCATCAATAATCATAATAATACGTATTGAGAAAAAAGTTTGACAAACACCTATATAATATCCGCTCGACGATCCATCCTTTCTCAATCCTTTCTCAACTGGACATAATTATGTACATTTCTAAAAAATTTTGTTAAAAACCACTACACATCCATATATGTGCTTTACCGTATGTTTATATAATATATATATTTTTTAATGCTTCATCAATCTTATACGTCTTTAAAAACTGGGAAAAATCCTAATCCTGTAACACGAGAGTGCATTCGGCCGATTGTCGAGACTCTTCATTTTTCCTCATTATTATACGTGCTCGATCGCACGAGGGAGGAAGAAAAAAAATCGAAATTTCCGATCTCGTTGTCCCCGACCATTCGACCGATTGCATTCGTTATAAAGAAAGTTGTAATTCGGCAGCTGCTGTAATCCCACTGCAGTCAGCCGCATCACATCGAAAAAATGTATCAATACTTAATTTTTTTATACATATATTTCATATATACCTTGCAACATTGATTTTAGTTAAATTATCAATTTAAAAAAGAAACACTGTCGTCGAGCTCTAAAATCTCCCCGATGTGTCACCCACAGACAGGAAAAATCTCTCCGCAATTTTTTACATTTTGCACGAACATTATACGAGTAATAGGAATACGCGTTAAAAGGAAAACACCCCGCGATTCACGCAATTTACGCAAACAGTTTCACAAATATATATATATGCATGTATGTCGTATAGGATCAAAAGAAAAACTCACTCTCCGGATAACAGAGCCATCAAAATTTTTCCACAATAACCGAACCCTTTTCCAATCAAAGAACACACGACCGCGAGATCGTCGAACTTCTCGCACAAAGTCTCTCGCCCGAAGAGACGGTCGCGCATCGTCCTTCCGTACTTGGCATAGTGTGTGATACTATTCGGACCAAAGTGCTCGTGTTCAAGGGCGGGACGGGCGCGTCGAGTCGAAAAACAACAAAATTCGCGACGAAGCGCTACGATGATGTGTCCTCTTTTTGTGCTTACGTGCGATAAATAAGAAAAAAAAAGAAAAAAAAAAACGATGCACGAGAACGAAGTAATGATAAACAAAATTGACTATTTTTCGTGTTTTCAGAGGGAAAAACAATCAAATAAAAAGATACTCCGACCGACTTTGTTTTCTTCAGAGATATTTCACAGCCTGTTTTTTTTTGTCCTTTATATTGTACATAGTATAATATTCTCTCACACATCTGTCTGCTTAGCTATTTTCTCTCTGCCCCCACCCCCTTTGAACAAAAAGCAAAAACAAAAAAAAAACTCTGAATAATTCCTCTCCAAAACAGAGCTTATTGTTCGGTTCGATTGATTTGCAGCGTAAATATACGACTCTTTCCTTTCTGGGCCCTGTATTGAATTTTGTACAACTGTTAGCTTTCCCTTCAAAAGATTGGAGGTGGCAGGCACTTTTTTTTTTTTCGACTCGATAAAATTTCTATCATCCTCGCCCCTTTCAGCAAACTTAATCCGCGCGGACACTTTCAACCCAGTTGAAATCCCCCCCCCCCCATCCACTACTTTGGCGAGAAAATCAGGACCAAAGGGAGGAACGAAAACTTGAATGTCATGCGAGAGGTCAGAAGAGAGTGGAGAAACGAGTTTGAGAAAATAAGAGACAGTGGTTTTACAGTTGGATCGCTGGTGTATTGAACGTGTGATAAAAAAAAAAAAAAAAAATAGAGATAAAACTGAGAAAACAGAACTTAATAACAAGATAATAAGTATTATAAACAAGGGGACTAAATACAAATGTACAGTTGGTCTTTTTTTTTATAAGTTAGTCGTTAGCACAACTTTATCATTGTTTTCTCTTCTCCTTATATATATAGGCGTAACTTAAACAACTAGAATAGATAATTTAAGGACAATATTTCATTTTTGCTTTTTTTCTGTTTAATCGTTAATACACATTGCTGATTTCTCGTTCAAACCTTACAAAATCGATGCTCTATCGTTATAATATTTTTTCATCTTCGCCACTTTTGCAACACACCGTATTGGTAAATACATGAAGAAAAATTACAAACAAGTAAAAAAAAAAAAACACTCGACTCTCCGCGATCCTATAGCACAAAAATCGTCGGAAGAGAGAACAAACACATATGTATACATAAAATTACAAATTAATAAAAAAAGAAAGAAAACGTTCTTAGGAAAAGAAGAAAAGACGGACAGAAAACAAAAGTCGGTGAGCAGGAAAGAAAGGAATGAAGCAAACGAGACTTGGATGACGATAAGCTCCCGCTTCGATTACCATTACTATACGTAGGGTACAGCTTACACACGGCAAAATCTCTAACTAACAAAACTCGACAATAGGGTTATCTCGTGAATGGATTTTGTGTAAAAATATTACTATGAAAGTTTTTTTTTTTTTACATCAAACCTCCACCCATACGTTTTTCTCTTCCACTGGTGAGCTTACTCACCCATCCCAACGCAACGCTTTTTTTTTCTTAGCTTAATATTTTGTAAAATATAGTTTCTTCGTTAAACGCGGATTGCAAATCAAAGAGACCCGGTAAACATTACTCCACCGCATCCTAATGCACGTACATTGAAGTTAATTACTTTCCGTATTGCGAGCCCGTATTGTACAAATGAACTATATTGCACTGTGGTTTTGCTCTCCTCAGTGTTTTTTTCGATATGATTTTTTTTTTTTTTTCCAATTTAGAAAATCAACATCGATCATGTATTGTCACTCTTGGCGAAAAAAAGTAGCAAAAGAGTAAAAATTACAAGACTAGTGGCCGACTGCTCGCGTCGTGCCTCCACTGATTAGCGCGACGCATTTTCAACAAGGTACTACTTCTTCGAACACGAATAATATTAAGAAGGAAAAGGAAAAAACGATTAATAATACGATGGACAAGGTCTGACTCGATTCGTATTCCCATTATTTATATCGTATGATTATTTACACACCCAAGCGCAATACGTTGGAAAAGATGCTATTTAAATCTTAATCTTGCACGAGACAATTTTTTTTTTTTNTATATATATGTATATAAAGTCAATCGCGTGATACCGGCACATACAGCAAAATGGATTTTTACTTTTTCTCCACCTCCATCATCTCCCTTTTGTAATAATCGTAAAAAATAATAATAATAATAATAATAATAATGATAAAAATGTTAACGCACGCGCGCGTCGACGCGCACACCACGTGTATAATGTATACACGCATGCATTTTTACAGTCACAAGAGTCGAGCGAGCGATATCTTGCTGTTGCTGCTCAATTCTCTGAAATCCTCGATAAACGCGTGTACGTGTACAAATATATAAAATACGAATAAAAGATGAAAACAAGTTGAAGAAAGTAAAAAAAAAAATAAAAGGAGAGAAAACGAAGAGCGAAAGATCTACTAATTGTATTGAGCCCGCGCCTCGACAATCCAATTTCGGGCGCGACAAGAAGAACGTCACGCGCGCACGCGTGAAAATATTTATGCAGAGATCACGTTTTCGTTATGTTTCTTTTTTGTTTTGTTTTGTTTTTTTTTGTTTTTTTGTTTTTTGTTAATAATGAACACAAACACAAGTTATTGATTATCCCTCGGCAACCGGGCGACTACACCGCCGGTACCTCCGAGCGCCTCCTACGCCTCCTCCTCTTCCTCCTCCTCCTCCTCGTCACCTCCACGTCCTCAACCTCCTCCGAGACCTCACAAAGGGCGACCGCTTGCTCGCCAAACAGCTCGAGGTCACCGTTGACGCGACTCGGCCCGAGCAAGCCCTCGCCCCCGGCGCTCCCCTCGTCTCAGAAGCTTGTCCACTCGTTGTTCACCCCGATGTCGGAGAACATGTCCGTCACGTCGGGATTGCAGGTGAACTCGAAGTGACTGATCCCCGGGCCACCGCTCGCCCGGTCGTCGTACCCGTCGAGGTCCGTGGCTATGGTCTCCATGTCAAGGTCGAGCTTGAAGTCGCACGGCTGGATCTGCAGCAGGTCCGTCAGGGCTATCGCGTCAATGTCCGTGAACGTGTTGTTGCTCGACGACTCCTCGAGCTTCACGTGGTTGTTGTTGTTGTTGTTGTTGTGCTGGTGATGGTTGTTGTTGTTGTTGTTGTTGTTGTTGTTCGTCGTGCTTGTGACCATCATGTTGTTGTTGGCAATGTCGAGGGGTTCCTCCTTGACGAACACGTCGTCGGGGTGGCAAGCTTGGCGCTGCTGGAAGCCCCTCGTCAAGCTGCTCATGTCCGGCACGTACGACCTCACCGAGGACAACAGCCTGTCGTTCGCCGCGAAATCCGTACCCACGAAATCCATCGTCTCGGCTTTCATGAGCTCCAATTGCTGATGGTGCTGCTGCTGATGGTGGTGGTGCTGGTGGTGCTGGTGCATGGCCATCTGCGTCGGGCAGTCGATAAACTGATGGTCGTCGTAGAAACTCGCCGATTCGGGCGAGTCGGGCGTGTCGCAGGACGGACTGCTCGGGACCTTGGCGCTCGCGATCGGCGGCGTTGGCGTGTAATGCTGCTGCTGCTGCTGCTGCTGCTGCTGTTGTTCCTGCATAATCGTCGTTGTGGTGGTGGTGGTGGTGGTGGTGGTGTGCAACGTTGGCCTCTTGTCGAGGGCTAGTCTAACTTTGAGCTTGGACACGGGACTCGTGGTCGGTAGGGACTGGAGCCTCTTGACGGACGTGTGGTGGTGTTGGGTTCTGGTGTTGTTGTTGGTGTCGTTGCGGGGCTTGCAGGGATTGGAGATCGACTGTGAGCTGGAGCTCGCGGAAGACAGGGCGCTCGAGAGCGAGGACGACGACGACAGGGGCGAGCCGGACGACTTTTTGGTCTTTTTGGAGTCCTTGGTCTTGGGGGTTGGGGCGGGTTTGGTGGTTTTTTTCCGGGGCCGGTATTTGTAGTCCGGGTACTCCATCATGTGGAGCTGGCGGAGCCTCTCGGCCTCCTCGATGAAGGGCCGGCGCTCGGCTTCGTCGAGCGTCTTCCAGCGCCGGCCGAGCCTCTTGCTTATCTCGGCGTTGTGCATGTCCGGCTGGACCTCGCAGATTTTCCTGCGCTCGATCTGGGACCACACCATGAACGCGTTCATCGGCCGTTTTATGTGGTTCGGGTTGTTCTTTTTCGTCTGAAACACAAAGCAGAGCGGACGTGGTTTTTATTTTCTTTTCTTTTTTTTTTTTTTTTTTTTTTAGTTAGTGTTCAGTTTTAAAGTGAACTTGTGCTTAAATGTACTGTACATTTTATTGCTATGCGAAATTGCTGTAATATTTAAATGTCTGTTACTTCTTCGCGAGCTTCTTAGAATTGAATATCTTATGTTTCATACGTTACTACTTGGATTAAAACAATACTCTAGAGACTGTGCTACATTTATACTTTTCTACGTTATAATATATTCAATAGTTGTTATCTGCAAAACGAAATATTC